CCGCTGATAACCGCATTTCTGCTAAGCCTGCGCAACATGGCCTTAAAATAGTATAATCGTTAATGTTAATCCACAATTAATGGATACATCGGTTAAATGTATTAGCCCGAGCTGGAGTTCTGCTGTTAATGGCCTGACACTTCACGGGTTGCAAATCTCACTATTTGTGTGTGTGTGTGTGTGTGTTCGTACGCACCAGGCGCTTTATCCTCTGGTGACATGTCTGCTGTGCGTGAGCCAGAAGCAGTTGTTTCTGCGGGTTGCAAATCTCACTGTTTGTGTGTGTGCGTGTGTGTTCGTATGCACCAGGCGCTTTATCCTCTGGTGACGTGTCTGCTGTGCGTGAGCCAGAAGCAGTTGTTTCTCAGCCGCTGGCACATTTTCCTCAACAACTGCCTGTCCAACCTCAAGGTAAAAAAACAAAACAAAACTCAACAACAACGTTTTTTGTGGCCTTGTATTTTTTTGGTTATTGTTGAATTGTATGTGAATGCAGACAAAACTCAACAACAACGTTTATTTGTGGCCTTGTATTTTTTTTTGGTTATTGTTGAATTGTATGTGAATGCAGAATAAAGACCCCAAGATGGCCCGCGTGGCTCTGGCGTCGATCTCACGCCTGCTGTGGGCTTACATGATCATACATCTACTTAAAGGAGACAGTGTTTTTTTTCCCCACATAATTTAAAAACAATACACTTGTACCTTTTACGAGAGGTACATTTTTGCATATTTGTAACACTTTCCCTGCTTTGTGCATCACCCACAGTCGCCTGACGTCCATCACCTCCATTGCTATGTGTCCCCCCCGCCCCCACATAATATAATTTAAAAACAATACAACAGCAGCAAACTAAGTCAAAATGCCCCTGTACCTTTTGCGAGAGGTAAATTTAAACTTTTTTTGTATGTTTGTAACACTTTCCCTGCTTTGCGCATCACCCACAGTCGCCTGACGTCCATCACCTCCACTCTCTTCCCCAAGGGGAGCCGCAGCGTCGTCCCCCGAGACATGCCGCTCAATATCTTCGTCAAGATCATCCAGTTTATCGCGCAGGTGTGTTGGACATTCTCAAAGCCGACAACGATATTACTCGTACTGTGAATGTGTTTCAACACCTGGGACATCTGTTTGTGCTCAGGAGAGGTTGGACTTTGCTATGAAGGAGATTATATTTGATCTTCTGAGTGTGGGGAAGCCTGCCAAAGCCTTCAGCCTCAACCCAGAGGTATGAATCGCTTTTATTGGACAGATATTCCTCTGTTTTTCACCAAGAAGGCATGCATCATCACTAGAGATAGGTTCTTTTTAATGTCAGAGGTACATACAGGTTGCTGACTTTATATTTTTTTGTATTCAAAAGAACATATATACAGTGTTTTAGGGAGTGATTTATTTTGTGGGTTGACATATCTTTTATTATTCTGACAATAATAGTCATAAATTCCTCTCTGTTCCACCTCAGCGTATGAACATCGGCCTGCGAGCTTTCCTGGTCATCGCCGATGCCCTCCAACAGAAAGACGGCGAGCCTCCCATGCCCAACACGGGCGCCACGCTGCCCTCGGGCAACTCCCTGAAGAAGAAGAAAACCTACCTCAGCAAGACCCTCACAGAGGAGGAGGCCAAGCTCATAGGCATGTCCTTGTACTACTCGCAGGTGCGCAAGGCCTTGGATAACATCCTCAGGCACCTGGACAAGGAAGTGGGACGCTGCATGATGCTCACAAGCGTGCAGATGCTGAACAAAGAACCGGAGGACATGATCACGTATGTGACGTCAAATATGTTTGTTCATGTTTTTTCAATTTCAGTTTGTGGTGATTGAATGTAAAAGAAATGAGCAATACATTTCCTGTTGTGAAATGTATTGCTTGTTTCAGTCTCTTTTAGTTCATTTGTATTCATTAATGACGTCAATTATTTGAACATAATAAGGAATAATTGTTTTGTGTTGGAGTGTTTTTGTAGTGTGTTTCATTGCTCTTTATAATGAACAGGGGTGAAAGGAAGCCGAAAATTGACCTGTTCCGGACGTGTGTCGCCGCCATTCCTCGTATCCTCCCTGATGGAATGTCCAAACCCGAGCTCATCGATCTTCTCTCACGGTGGGCTGTGTGACAGTGTCTGGTTGTGTTTTGTGTCTACATCCTTTTTTTTTTTCAGCATCTCTTTCCATGATAAATTTAAACTGAAACATGTCTGATTGTGCATCTTGCACACAAATTGGAAACGAAGCACCCAAGCTGTGGCAATGTGAACTTCCTGCTCTTCTTGATTTTGCTTCGTCGTGCCGTCTTTCCTCAGACTCACAGTGCACATGGACGATGAGCTGCGTCTTATTTCCCAGAACTCCCTTCAAAGTCTCTTGTTGGATTTCTCCGACTGGAGGGAAGACGTACTCTTCGGTTACACACACTTCTTGTTGCGTGAAGTTCAAGACACCCAACAAGGTCTTCAGGATGCGTCGGTAAAGCTACTGCTGCAGCTGCTCACTCAGTGGAGGCTTGCTCTACAGCTGCAGGGCAAGATGCGAGGTGGTGTGGAGGTTTGTCTCAGAAGCTTGTCATGATTGTATATGTTTGAAATCATTCACTTCCCTACTCCATAATCACTATACAGTGAAACCGCATTTATTGTGGAGGATACGTTCCAGACCCACCCTTAAAAATCTGTGATATGGAGAGACAGTAACACATTTTAAAATTATCCCTTAAAGCTTTTTTTCCATCCATTTTGTCCCCTCGCTTATTACTCAGGCAAGCCCCAGAATGTCTGAACGTAGCCCACACTGCTCAGTGCTCCATGCCGTGGAAGGTCTGGCTTTGCTGCTGCTCTGTTCGTGTCAGATAAGCACCAGGAAGCTGGCGGTGGGCGTGCTCAGAGAGATTCGATGCCTGTTCACCGCGCTCGGACACGCTGAGGTACACCACCCACACAAATCTATTCACTTCATATTGTGCCCTTGCCTTTCATATCTTCCCTCCTTGTTTCCTCCTTAATCTTAAGGACACCACTCCTTCGTCTCGCCAATGCTCCTGAAAGTCTGGCTGAACTGAAAAATTCTGTTTTCTGTTCTGTAGGATGACGACAAACCCATGATCGAAGTCATGGACCAGCTGAGTCCGGCTGTGATGGACAGCTTTGTCCACGTGGCCATCTCCGACTCAGTACGTAACATTTTGGACCAGCAACTTTGTCATCGTCCCATCCGCAGCCTCTCACTCTGTATGCTTTTCTCTCTGCAGTCTACTTTACCCATGAGCCACCATGTGGACCTACAGTGGTTAGTGGAGTGGACGGCGCGGCTGGTAAGCAGCTCCTACGACGTGAAGAGCCCCAGCCACGTGTGGATCTTCGCCCAGTGCCTGAAGGACCCCTGGGTCCTGTGCCTGCACATTTTCCTGCGCCAAGAGCACCTGCCAAAGCACTGCCCCGTGGCCCTGGGCTACGCCTGGCCCTACGCCTTCACGCGGGTGCAGCTGCTGCTGCCGCTCGTCGACCCCAAGTAAGTACACTTGGAGATCAGCAGACAAGGACATAGAGACAAGAAGACAAGGAAGCCCGAGTAAGTGTGCGGGGCAGTAAATGAGAAAAGGATTTAAGGAAGGAAGAAGACAAGGAGGATTAGTATGTAAGTGGGTAGGCAAATAGACAAGTAGGTGTGGATGGCAAGTAAGCAAAGAGGAGACATGCAGGCAAGTAGACAAGGAAATCTGTGTAAGCGTGTACGTAAAGCAGGCGAGGAGACAAGGAGACCAGTGTAAGTATGTCGGAAATATACAAGGTGGGGTGTAGTAGACATAGAGACAAGGAGGCAAGAAGACCAATATACAGTATGTAAGTGTATAGGTACGGAGACTACACACACTAAGAGCCGGAGGGCAAGTAGATGTGGAAGCAAGAAGACAAGGAGCCAAGTACACCAATATGGAGGTAGACATGTAGACAAGATAAGAAGGGAAGGAGTTCATAACCTTGAAATGCCCTTTGTCGGTGCCATCAGCTGCCATCTTTTTCTAGCTTTCCTCAGCCCACCAATTGAGAACAACATTTCTTAAAAACGCACTTGTTCTTCTTCTTTTCTCGTTCACACAGCAGCCCAGTGAACGCAAAGAAGACCAGCACGGCCAGCTCCAGCGACAACTCCATGTCTCTGTGGCGGAACTACCTCATCCTGTGTCTCGGGGTGGCCAAGCCCAGCATCATGTCGCCGGGACACCTGAGAGCGTCCACACCTGAGATTATGGCCACCACGCCTGACGGCAGCATCACCTACGACAATAAGGTATATGCTTGACCATCATGTCAATCTCGCTTCCTTCATTCCGATAATCAGATGCACACATGTCTTCTCTTGGACTTAACTATAGCTCTTTCCATGTTGTTTTCACTGATAGCTGAGTTCTCCTATTTCTCACTTTTGGGTGGACATAGGTGATAGGCACGCCGTCAGTAGCCTGGCTACTGAAGCAGCTCGTTCCACTGATGAGAGCAGAGAGTCTGGAGATCACAGAGTCTCTGGTGTTGGGCTTCGGCTGCACAAACGCACTCGTCTTCAGGTAAGACGCCTGGTAGGGCTGGGCAATAAATCCATTTTATTGATGCTTTTTGATGCTTGCTGTTTGTCAGGACGCTGTTTTCTGGCTTCCATAAGTATATCGACCAGCCCTAGCGTGCCTTCCTCTCATCTTGTGGTATTTTTTTCCAGGGAGCTCATGGAAGAACTCCATCCGCTCATGAAGGAGGCGCTGGAACGTCGACCCGAGGTATAAGCAGATGAGGAAGCTCTAGTTACTCTCAGGCTAAGCTGACTACATAATGACATTTAAAATGTGCGCCTGACTTTCAGAACAAGAAGCGACGTGAGAGGAGGGATCTTCTCAGGCTGCAGCTGCTGAGAATCTTCGAACTGTTGGCCAATGCAGGAGTTATCAGTGACAGGTGCAGTAAAAACAATAACAAAGACCATTACCATATCTGTATGAGATGAAATTATATGTTACTAAATTAGTCCAAGTGTCAAATGACCTTGTGATTTGTTTTTGGTACTGCGGCTCTTAAATACACATACCAGGTGACTTTGAGTGGAGTGTAACAGAAGTTAGTGTGTCAATGAAACGGTGTCATGCTATATGACCCTGACACAATGTCAGAGACCATGTGTCAAGTGACATGTGTGACATGTGTTGAAAGGAAAGATGCCCTCCCTTGTTTTTTGCCGTGGCAACATTTTTGGGTCCCCTTCCATTGTGGCACCAACCGTTCACGTGCTGTAGCTGTAATAGTAAAATTTTTCCGTGGGTGTGCAGCACCAACGGAGCACTGGAGCGCGACTCCCTGGCGCTGGGAGCCTTGTTTCTGGAGTACGTGGACCTGACGCGGATGCTCCTGGAGGCGGAGAATGAAAAGGAGATGGACGTGCTCAAAGACATCAGAGCTCACTTTAGTGGCATGGTGGCCAACCTCATCCAATGCGTGCCCGGTGAGTCATACAGGAGGAAGTAGAAGTAGTCTAAACAAGATAAATTGCCATGGAAATAGAATTAATATTAGTAGTAGTATATATCTATAATGCTCTTTCTGCATATATGTGTGTGTAGTCCAGCACCGTCGCCTCCTGTTCCCCCAGCAGTCTCTCCGCCATCACCTCTTCATCCTCTTCAGCCAATGGGCCGGGCCCTTCAGCATCATGTTCACGCCCCTGGACCGCTACAGCGACCGCAACCATCAGATCACCCGCTACCAGTACTGTGCTCTCAAGGTCAGCTTTGATGAGAAACCCCTAATTCTTCTTCTTCTCCTCTTCTACTGATGGTGCTGACATTTCGTTCTCTCGCCCAGGCTATGTCCGCCGTCCTGTGTTGCGGTCCTGTGTTTGACAATGTGGGTCTGTCCACTGACGGCTACCTCTACAAATGGCTAGACAACATCTTGGCCTGCCACGACAAGCGGGTATGTTCGAGTGGTACAGTTGTATTGGTGGAGTACTACTAATAATCGAAGAAGTGGTGGTCGTAGTAGAAGAAATTAGTAGCGTCACACACACTCCAGACTGTTCCTGACTGTGTGCGTGGTCCACCGTAGGTTCACCGTCTGGGCTGCGAGGTGGTGATTCTGCTGCTGGAGCTGAACCCGGACCAGAGCAACCTGTTCAACTGGGCTGTGGACCGCTGCTTCACCGGATCCTACCAGCTGGCGTCCGGATGCTTCAAGGCCATCGCCACCGTGTGCGGGAACAGGTATGACTGTCCTGCGTCCGCTTCTAAATGAAATCTTGTCATTAATTCATGACCCCATTATTGTTTAATAATACCAGTAATAATAATACAAATTTCGGAAAAAAACAAAATCTTGTCGACTGGCTAGGAACTACCCATGTGACCTGGTGACGCTGCTCAACCTGGTGCTGTTCAAGGCGTCAGACACCAGCAGGGAAATCTATGAGATCTCCATGCAGCTGATGCAGGTACGTGTGCATTCATTTTATTCTGCTACGTGACATCACAGCCATATATAATATGATATGATATGATTTGATCAGGTATTGGAATCCAAGCTGTGTGCATACTCCAAGCGTATGGTGGAGCAAAAGCCCGGTAACATCTTGTACGGGACACACGGGCCTCTGCCGCCTCTCTACAGCGTCAACCTGTCACAGCTTTCCAATCAGCTGGCCAGCATGTACCCGGAACTCACGCTGCCACTCTTCTCAGGTCAGTAATACCCACGCCGCACATAATGTAGATGTAGTAGAAGAAGAAAAATAAGTACTTGAAGAACAGGCATGACAGTTCTGACAATGTTCTGATATCTGTGTGGTGTGCTTTTCACATGTCGTCATCATCATTATCCTCTCAGTATCATCTTTCTAACATTTCTTCTGTGTGCACGTGTGTTTTGGGACGCAGAGGTGAGCCAGCGCTTTCCAAGCACCCACTCCAACGGCCGTCAGATCATGCTGTCCTATCTGCTGCCTTGGCTGGGCAACATGGAGCTGGTGGACACGGCCCTTCTGCCGCCCGCCTCCAGCCCCTGCACTCCGGACGAGGAGGTATCGCGCGGTCCGGCCCCGAGTCTGGCGGGCGTGTCGCTCTTCCTCAGGGGCAACGGTTGGGGCTCCCTGCAGGCCACCTCGCTGGTGCTCAACAACCTCATGTTCATGACGGCCAAGGTGGGACGCGCTGTATACTGTCGCTGTTGTTTCCCTAGATGCACACACGCTATACTGTGCTTACACTCCACGTTGCAGAAGGTTGTGCGTATCTCGGAGTGTTCAAAAGTCACTATTTTGTCAGAAGCATGGAAGGTTCTGCACTTCACAGTTTTTAAACAGCTCATCTGTCCTCTTTTGTTCTCGCAGTACGGGGACGAGGTGCCCGGGCCGGAGATGGAGAGCGCTTGGAACGCTTTGGTGTCCAATGAACGCTGGAGCAACAACCTGAGGATCACCCTGCAGTTCCTCATCAGCTTGTGTGGAGTCAGCAGTGACACCACACTCTTGCCTTATGTCAGTAAACACACTCCTTTATCACGATATCATGCTCATATCAGTAGTAGCTGCAGTTTGATGTAAAGACTCACAGCAGAGACACATGAAAATGTGTGTTGCTGCCCTATCTGATGATCAGCATTTGCGTTTCCAGATCAAGAAGGTGGTGATCTACTTGTGTCGTAACAACACCATCCAGACCATGGAGGAGCTCCTGTTTGAGCTTCAGCAGACTGACCCCGTCAACCCCGTGGTGCTGCACTGCGACAACCCGCCTTTCTACCGATTTGCCGCCAGCAACAAGGCACCCACCTCGCAGACAGGTCAGACCCAGCGCCACCTTTTTTGCCTTCCTGCGTGATGGTTGGATATGACACGTGTGCCTTTGCTCGTGTGCGCACGTAGGTACCACATCCAGCAGCAACACGGTGGTGGTGGGACAGGACAACCTGGCAGACACAGATGAAAGCAAACTGGTCAGGGAGAGTGAAGAGCGGTCAGTATTAATCTTTTTTTTTTTTTTTTTTTTAATTAACGTGTACATGTCAGGATGATAATGACGTGTGGGTTACAGCAGGGCCAGGGCGCACAACAGGCTCGAGTCCCGCTACAGCAACAGCTCAGGAGGTTCCTACGAGGATGAAAAAAGTATGGAGTCTTCTTATCTCAGACCATATACACCCATCGGCCACTTTATTAAGTACACCTGTACAATTTTAAAGCACCCAATACAAGAGCTTTATCAAATCTAATTCAAATTTTAATTCTTCTGCTGGCCTGTATTTAATGTCTTTCCACAGCCGACCCTCTCCCACCGTACGCCGCCTGGCTGGTGAGCGTCCTGGAGACAAACCGCCCGCAGCCACTGCCCATGCCCATCAACGGCGGCTGCTGGGCGCCGCTGGTGGACTACCTGCCCGAGACCATCACGCCCAGGGGACCCCTGCACAGGTGCGTCTGACAAAACTCTGGAATGAAACCTGGTCAGATATTTGTTTTTGCTATGCGTGGAAGGAACGTCGCCGGGCGTTAGCGTTACTCAGGGAAGAAATCTGCTGTATGTAAACTGTCAATTTTGAAAGTGCTGGTGGCAGAGATGCCTTAAATGAGCATAATCAAAATATGCGAAGAAAGTGGTTTATATATTGTATTAAAAAAAGTTTTAACACGTACTTACTTTTTGGAAAAATGTAAAAAAAAATGTTTTTATTTTTATCCAGTATGACATTTCTGATTTAGTGTTTCTTCGGTAACTCAAATGCGAATGTTTTTTAGGTGTAATGTCGCCGTCATTTTCATGACGGAAATGGTGGTGGATCACAGCGTGAGGGAAGATTGGGCTTTGCACCTTCCCCTGCTGCTGCACGCGCTCTTCTTAGGTATGAACACACACACACACACACACACACACACACACACACACACACACACACACACACACACTTTACTGATAAGATAAAACATGAAATGATGCGTTGCATTGATATTTGACAGTGACGTCTAATAGTCCCTTCCGTCAGTGTGCGCTTTCATGCTCCGATGCACAAGCACACAGTCAAAAACATTCACACATTCTTTTGTGCGGCTGCAGACAAGGACCCATAAAGCACTTGTCAACTTCTCACTGTTCTGACATCCCGCGCACACCCCCCATATCATCATTTCATTTCATTTAATGGAGAAATATTCAGGAAATGGTGTATGCATATTTGGTGTTTCTGCCCAGCCATCAAATGTGAGAACAGAAGCCCTCAGCCATTTTGCTTTGAGGGTGCGGATTGTTAAGTGTTTCTCTGTTTGTGTGTGTCATCATTAGGCCTGGACCACTATAGGCCGGAGGTATACGAGCACAGCAAGCGCCTCCTACTGCACCTCCTCATAGCGCTATCGTGTAACAACAACTTCCAGGTGAGGGACGGAGGCTTCCTCTTCCTCTACCACCTTCCACCTTCCACCTTCCCAAAGTCTCCCCCTCTTCTCTTTTTCCTCCACTTGCTCTTCCTCCTGTACCTCTTCCTGTTCGACTTCCAGCTTCTCCTCCACCTCCCCCTTCTCTTCCATCTTCTTCTCCACCTAATCCACTGCCCTGTCTTCCGGCATTCACCTTTTTCCTACTCATCTTCCTCCTCGTTCTCCACCACCTCTTCTTACCCCCCATTCCATGTGCTTCTCTTGCTCCTTATCCTCATCTTCCACCACCTCCACATCTCCGTCCTCCTCGACTCTCTCCTCCTCTTCCTCTTCCGTCTTCCACCCCCTCTTCCTCATCACTATGTTGCGATCTCATTGCAGGTGATCGCCTCCGTGTTAATGTTGACCAGAGAAAGCAGTGACAACAAAACTCTGACCATCAAGTCCAGCTATCACAACGACCATCAGCACTCAAGTAAGACCCTTCCTGTCCATCCTCGTTCCCCTGACTGCTAACTACTAATGGCCCACGCTTGTTTCCCGCGGATGGACAGACGTGCCCGATTTCCTGCGGGAGTGCCAGGCTTCACCCATGGTCGACTCAGGCCTCGGCTCCATGTCCAACTCATCTTCGGTTAGCCTGGCCGGCGGTAGCACAGCAGGCAGCGTGGGCAACCTGCCGCTGGTTACGCCAGACGACCCGGGGG